TCGCGATGATTTCCTGACAAGCTTGACTCATGGCGACATATTCGGCTTCGCACGTCGAAAGAGCAACATAAGTTTGCTTGTTTGCTCGCCAGGCAATCGTATCACCAAACAATCGTATTATATAACCGCACGTCGAAACCGAAGATTTGCAATCGGCAAAACTCGCATCTGAATAAGCTAATAAGTCGTTTCGTCTACCGATAAATTTTAGTCCTAAATCTTTCGTTCCTTTCAAGTATTGAAAAACTCTTTTGACCATATTCCACTTGTTTTCGGTCGGATCAATTTGATGTCTGCTCAGTATATTTACTGCGTAGGCTATGTCTGGACGAGTAGCTCCGGAAAGATACAAGAGACTACCAATTGTTTCTCTGTACGGAATGTCCATTGGTTTTTCGTAAGTTTCGAAATTGTCGACTTGTTCTCGTTCCCTTCGTTCGCGATTTGCTACCTGTCGTGTCGTCATCGGTGTGTTTTTTGAAAATTCATTCTCAAAATTAAATTTCGTTAGAATTTTTTCAATGTAATCTTTTTGAGTCACTGTCATTATTTTTAAGTCCCTGTGTCTTTCAATATTCATACCCAAGTAATGTTTTGGTTCGCCTAAGTCAGTCATTTCAAACGAGATCATTAGTTTACCTTTAATTTCTAACATTTTATTACGGTCGTTACTTGCTAGCAAAATATCGTCAACGTAAATTAGCAAAATGACTATCGAATTGACAGAATGCCACATGAACAAGCAGGGTTCATAATCGTCATTAATCAGTCCTAAAGAATGAGCAACTTCAGAGAATTTTTTGTTCCATTGTTTTGGACTAACTCGTAACCCGTAAATCGCTTTGTGAAGTTGGCAAACTTTGATCTGTCGTAAATTTTGAGAATTTTCCACACCATCGGGAATTTCCATATAAATCTCGTCTTCTAGAATACCGTTCAAGAAGGCAGATTTAACATCTAATTGACACGCTTCCAAATCATAATGATTGCGAGAACTATTCTTACTAAAGTAAGTCTAGAAACTGGCGCATAGGTTTCTTTCAAGTCATAAGAATTTGTATCTTTAAAACCTCGAATTACTAATCTAGCTTTAAACTTGATTTTACCGGGACTTTAGTACTTTCGTTTAAAAACCCATCTCGAATCGATAATGTTAGGCTTTTTACCATTTTTACCTATTTTCGGTCGTTCTACAATTGTCCAAACTTGGTTTTTGTTCAAAGATTCTAACTCGTCGTCGATTGCTTTTAACTACTCGTTTTTATTTTTCGATTCTATAGCTTGTTTAAAATTTAATGGATCGTTATTGATTTCAGCATGAAAGCAAAATAGAATTTCATCGTTTGTTTTATTTTCTGTTGTTGTGAACTCGTCTTCTACACTCGGAAAAGTATAGCTATTTGAAACATTCGTAATTTTAGAAATTTTGGCAAAGCTAACATCAGCTATTTTCCGACTGTGCATTTCGTAAGGTTCTCGAGTAACTTTACTCTTTTTAGCTTCTATTGAAATTTCATTCGAATTCTCTCCCTCTGTTTCTAACAGTCTTTTTCGAGGTCTGCCGCGTTTCTTGGGCTGAGCTCCCTCCGTTTCTGACAATGTGTTTTGACTTTTGACAACATTGTTTTCGTTACTGTCTTGGAAATTAAAGAACCAGTCGTTTATAGACAAAGTCGTTTCTGGAAGTGGCCAATTTTGTATCGAGTCTTTCTTTTATTTGTCACCGAAAACTAATTTTTCGTTGAAAAGAACATTTCGTGATTCAAAGAATTTTCTGGATTCCGGATTGAGGAAAATGTAACCGGACGTTGTGTAACCTACAAGAACACCGCGTACTGCTCTTGCCGAAAACTTTGAGTCAGGTTTTCTAGTTATTGACCAATAGGCCAAACAACCAAATCGTTTAATTTGATTTAGATCGAAATGAAAATCAGGTGCAAATCTACTCAAAGGAGCTTCAAAATCAATTGACTTGTGTGGAGTTCTATTATAGATGTAAACCGCCGTTCCTAAAACTAAACCCCACATGTTTGGTGGAAGTTTTGAGTCAAACATAATCGATCGAATTTTCTTTTGAATCGTTTGATTAAATCGCTCAGCAACTCCGTTGTGTTGAGGAGTGTCTGGGTTCGCACACTGTCGTTCTATACCTTCGCGTAATAATACTTCGTTCGTATAACCTCCCATAAATTCAGTTCCCTGATCTGAACGCAAATAGCAAATTTTTTCATTAGAACCGAGCAAATTTCGAGCACTTTTAATAAATTTCTCTAAACACAAGCCCGTTTCGTCTTTCGTTTTCATGGGATAAGCTTAAGCCAGTCGTGAGTAGTACTCAAAAAAAACAACAATATATTGATTACCGTGAGGATGTGCAGGTGGTGAAATTTTGCCCATCACATCGGAGTGTATAATCTGTAACGGTCGTGCAGCTCTAGTTCTTTGATTTTGAAAAGGTAGTTTATTAAGTTTCGTTAGTGCGCATATCTCACAATCAAGGATACTGTCATCGAAAACTACTGACTGAAGGTCTTTATTATCTTTCCACAATTTTTGTAATTTTCTTAAATAGCCAACGGACACGTGGCCTAGTCGTACGTGCCAAAGCATGGCTTTGTTCTTTTTAATAAACTCATTGTAACTATTATCGTTAAAGGGGGTAAATTCGTCTAAGACATCTGCTTCGGGCAATTCGTCAACATTTGTTATTTTTCGTTTTACTGTGGAACTGTCAAAATCGGAAATAGTAGTAGTTTCAGAGTTTTTTTTGAATTTTATTGTCAAGTTCTTCTGTGGAGTTATTAATTAAATTTTCGTTTTTATTCGTCTCGTTATTTTCAGTCGTATTAAAGGAGTCACTCGTTACATTATTATTTCTAATCATGTTTTTATCAATCGATTCGTTATTTTCTTTGGGAGTTTCATGAACTACAGTCGTGTCAAAAATAGTTGTGTTTGAAAGCACTGAATTATCATTTGAACTTTTCCTGTCAATTTTAAATTCAAGAAACCAATATGGTTTCTCATAAATACCCGTTGCAAGTAAATCTTTTGATTTAGAATTAAAGATATTAATTCGCTTGTCGTTTAAATGAGAAGAATAACCTGCTTCGGCCAGTCGTCGGAGTGACAATAGATTTTCGGAAACTGAATTGGTATAAATGACATTCGTTAATGTAAAGGATTTATTGTAATTTGAAATTAAATTAACATTTCTTTGACCCTGAGCAATGAGATCTGCTTTACTGTCCTTATTTGCGCATTTAATAACATTACATTCGATTTTATTTAATCTATCAAAAATATTTTTTGAATTTGTAATATGTTCTGTCGCACCGGTATCCACGATAAAAGAAACATAATTGTAATTTTTATTTTTAATCGTATTTGATTTGGAAAGACTATAAATGTAAACTGAAGATTCTGTTTTGGTTTCGGAGGTGGAAACAGTATCAGACAATGACAAGGATGTAGTTTGAGATATAATTTTATTTGACGTACCTGATTTGTTGTTCTGCAATTCGGTGAAACCAATTTTTGGTATTTCACTCGTACCTGTTCGTGAATGTCTTTGTTGGCGTTGTGTATTGTTTTTATTGTCAGCGGGTCGTTTTTGAATTTTACTGTCATTTTTTCTTTTAAAAGAATATTTATTACTGTCGTTACTTTTTCTAAATGATTTGAAATATTTTTTGCCTTGGTTCGGTTGAGATTTAAACGGTCGTTTAAAATTAGCGCGTAAATAAATATTCGATATGTCGTTTGAATTATTAGAATACTTACTTGTTAAGCCTCTGCCCTTAGTTTTAAGCAGTCGTTGCTCGCATTCATAGGCCTTGTGTTTTGTAAATTGCTGACACTCATAGCATTTACGTAAACCTTGGCCTTTTCTGGGACACTCGTTTGACATGTGGCCGAAATCATCGCACTCGAAACATCTTTGACTAATCCACTGTCGTTGATTGGATTTTGCATATTGAATTGAGGCCATGGCAGTCGTTTTAGAGGCAGGATGAGTTTTAATTATTGTTTGCAGTCGATTTGCTTCCGACTGTATAACAAATAATTTGAGGGCTTCGTAATTTAATCCTTTACCGGTCTGGTTTTTCGTCATAAACTCGACAGATTGAACTTCGGGTAATTGTGTTAAAATGGCGTTAAAAAGTGCATCGCGTTTCTCTTCGTCCGATAATAAAGTTGTACCAGAAATGTGTTCATAATTTAAAACGATTTCTTCGAAACGGTCTAAGAATTTGACTGCTGATTCGCGTTTTGCGTCGTATTGAATTGAATAAAGTTGCTTTCGTACGGTAACACTCGTTAAATTTACTTCACATCGTTTAAATTCTCGTAATTTGTTAATAATTTCAACCGGATTTTGAATATGTATAACTCGGGTATGATAAATTTTATCAATTCGATTTATTAGAATATCCCGAACTTCAAATTTATGTTTTTCTTTTAATTTTTCATTTAATCCTTCCGGTGGAGTAACTGTCGTATCGATAACATAAAGCAAGTCTGATATACGTAATTCGGACGTTAAAACTCGTAAAAATGTTCAAATTTGGTTTGTGAATTTAATTTGTATTCGTGTTTAAATCCGCTGTCTTTCCCGATCAGTTCAATTTTAATTGCTTCTTTAACTTGATTTGCTATTGAATTCGAATTATTCGTGTTATTATTGTTATTAATTGCTGTAAAATTCGGTGTAAATGTTGGGTTGTTATTTGTTAAATTTTTATTAGAACCGAGAAAATTTCTTTCCACTTGGGAAACTGTCGTTAATTTAAAATTTTGAGGCATTACAATTTCGTTAGTAATTTTAGGTTTTTTACCTTATTTTCTGAACTATGGCGTTTAAGCCATAATTGCATGGTCTCCTGCAATTTTGACTGCATATCCAAGGTTGAGCTCATCATTTTTTCCAACTGAACCATTTTATTATTTATACGATCCTCGTAAACCTCGTAATTGAAAGATCCTGAACTTAAGTTATTTTATAACTGTCGTTTTTTGATAGCACCCTTATTGTTATCTTGGGTCTGATTATTGTTTTTGTCACTGTCGTCACTGTTGTGATTACTATCGTCTTTGTCGTTATTGGTTAATTTATCGTTTGTGTTATTTGAATTGGTTTCTTTAAGATGACTGTCGTTAGTAATTAAAATTTCATTACTGTCTTTATTCGTTAAAGTGTTAGTCTCTTCATTATTTTTATCAATGAGACTGTCGTTGGAAATCAAAACAGATTGTTTCGATTCAGTCGAAATAGAATCTTTTTCCTTGTCGAAGCAATGTTGACAAGATTTGTTGCTACTAGGAACGCCTTGGTCAATACCTGGTGATACACCTACCAGAAAAAAAAATTTAATAAATAAAACAAAAATTATTTTATTATTATTTTTTTTTGTTTTTATAATTTGTCGACAACACACTCATACGGTCATTATTTATCGTTAAATAATTCGTTAAGAAAAATACAGTCATAAACAGTCGTAAACCTATAGTTTAATTAATCACCTGAATTATTATCAATGTCACCAATAAGGTTATTGACTTGTGACACGACCTGGGTCTCCGACAAAGATTGTTTGTCATTTGTGTGAGAAACATCATGACTGTGATCGCTTGAATCAAATTCCCCGGTTCCTTGGACATCGTGGTTTAGAGGTTTTGACAGTTTCTCGGCTTCCTTATATTCTCTAGCTAAATCGTCCCAATCGTTTTTGAGGGAATTCTTGCCTTGAAAGAAAAATTTCAAAATAGATTGTCAAAATGCACAGTCGTTAATTAAGGCAAAGATTGTAAGAAAATAACTGTCTGCTCTTGAATCATTGAAACAGAACTCATGTTATGATAATTCAGAACTGACACATTTCTTTACACATGTTACTAACAAGTGCAATATAAACCAATCTAGTTGTTATCAGTCTTCTGGAGTGAACACAACTCCATTAGAAAGAACAACAAACCAGAAGAATAGTTTACTGTCTTTAAAAGAAAAGAAGTAATTTGGAAAATTATAGACACTATTTCATAGTAATAAATTAAAATAACAGAATCGTTAGTAATAAATTCAGTCATCAATACGTACGTTCATAATTATAACTGTCATTGAAATTTTCAAATTTCCACTTAATTTGTGACATTTCGTTTTAAATTTGTAGTCTAATTCTAGAATTATAAATTTTGCATATCTTTAAACACTCGTCATTTTAATTTTACTAAAAAAAGGGTTATAGTTCGTTGAGCACTCGTTAATTTATTATATAAAATAATTAATTCGAATTTTGTTTACTTCCTGTTCGATACTTCGATTGTGAAAATAACAAACGGTAGTTGAAATCCATCTAGCGGACAATTTATTAACTTTGATATAACTGATAAGGTAAAGAAGGTTTTGATTAAATGTCGATCTTCATTATCAACAGTCGAGTTTTTTTTTAAATTTTAATTTATTAATTTTAATTTATTATATTATTCACTTTTTCGTAGTTAATTTGTTTAATTATAAAATTGAAATATCAAGCTTGATCGTACACACTCGTAAATGAATTCATTTAGTCGTTCTTTGAAAGAAAAGAGAAAAAGAAATATATATATATATATATATATATATATATATATATATATATATATATATAGTCGCTTATCAAGAAAAAAAATTCAACCAGCTAAATATATTTTTATTTATTTAGTTAAAAAAAAATTCACACATCGTCTGCTAAAAACTGGTTGTCGTAAAGTAAAGCTCTTTACTTACTTAAGCTGATTGTCTCTCCCTCGGCAAAGATTGCCGTGAAAGAGATATCGTCTAGTTTTATTCGGACCTCTATGTTCTCGTCCTCCATCTCCATGGCTTTCCTACAGCGGTTGATCACCCTCTTGGTAGTCGTGAACATTGCAAACACAGTCGTTATAGTCCTTAAAAACACTTCGTACTCTCAGTCGTGTAAAACTCGTTATAGTCCTGAGCACTGATCACTATGGCTGCCGGGAGAAGCGTCTTAACCCCTTGGCTGTCAACGAGATTTCCACTGTTTGGGCTAAAAGTGTGTTAAAAATTTTTAATGGATTTTTATGAAACTTGGTACTCTAAGGTTTCTGGGGTCGCTGATTACGAATCTGACATCAGTTTTTCGAAATTCAAAATGGCGGATCCAAGATGGCGGAATTTTTTCAAAATTCGTCGAATTTGCTTGAAACTTGTTACTCGGGGGTTTTAAGGGTCGCTGATTACGAATCTAACATTAGTTTTCCAAAATTCAAAATGGCGGATCCAATATGGCGGACAACGAAATAAAAAATTGATAAGATTGGCTTGAAACTGAATACTTGGGGATTTTCAGGGTCGCTGATTACGAATCTAAAATCAGTTTTTCAAAATTCAAAATATATGGTTCAATATGGCGGAAAATTTTTTTAAATTTATTGAATTTGTTTGAAACTGGTTAATCTGACATCAGTATGATAATTTTTGGTGAAATCAAATTTTGATAAATACCTTGAAAAAATAATGACAGATTCGTAATCAGCGACCTTAAAAACCCCCGAGTATTCAGTTTCCAGCCATTATAAATAATTTTTTTTTGTCGTGCGCCATATTGGATCCGCCATTTTGAATTTTAGAAAACTAATGTTAGATTCGTCATCAGCGACCCTTAAAACCCTCGAGTAACAAGTTTCAAGCAAATTCGACGAATTTTGAAAAATTTCCGCCATCTTGGATCCGCCATTTTGAATTTAGAAAAACTGATGTCAGATTCGTAATCAGCGACCCCAAAAACCCCCGAGTACTACGTTTCAAGTCAATCTGATCAATTTTTTATTTTTTTGTCCGTCTATATTGGATCCGCCATTTTGAATTTTGGAAAACGAATGTCATATTCGTAATCAGCGATCTCGAAAACCTCCGAGTAACCGGTTTCAGAAACATTTAAGAAGTTTTTAATCACTTTTTTTAAGTTGCGCATATATGCGTCATGAACCACTTTTGGCCAGTTTAGTTTTGCGCATATATGCGTCAGCGACAGTCAACGGGTTAACACGCCGCGAGCACACAAAACGCGAAACCGAACTTTCAATGAAAAGTCATTCATAACTACATCCAGCAGAGTTACTCAGTTGCTGGGCCCATAACCTGATAGCATATAGTTTATTTGGGCAGGATGTAGTCAATAAATACACTGTAAGTACTCACAAGAAAACAGCCGTTTATTCAGGAGAGATCGATGAGATGCGAACGGGATCGAAGCGCACGAAAAAGAGAGTGAGGGAGTGCGCGCGCACACGGAAGTGTGATCAGACTCGTAACAGCTAGAGTCAATCGAGTGTACCGCGAAATACAAATTCGACAGAGATTCAGAGCTCATTGATGAAAGAGGAAGAGGAAAATCAGGACCGAAAGCTACTGACATTGAGAAAACGGAAAGCGTAATTAAATATATTAATTCATTTCCCAAAGTGGAATCACATTACATAAGAAAGGACTCGAATCGTTAATGTCTCGAAGAAACGTTAACTCCCAGCCGAATGTATGAGTTGTATGTCGAAAAAATGAAAGAAATCGGAAAGGTCGAAAAAAGTATTGCAACAAAACATTTTTACTATGACACATTTAACACGAAATTTAATATCAGTTTCCACAAGCCGAAAAAGGATCAGTGTGATGTCTGTGAGTGTTATAGAAATGCTTCCGAAACTGAAAAAGAAAATTTAAATAGTAAATATGTAAGTCATATGAAAAATAAGGAGATGTCCAGAAAGCTGAAAGAAGAAGATAAAAATCAAACAAAAACGAATAAGAATAGTTGTATGGCATGCTTTGACTTTGAAAAAGTTCTCACAACACCAAGAACAGAGGCCAGCTCGCTCTATTACAAACGAAAACTTTCAGTTTTGAATTTTACAATTTTTGACACTGTTCGTCGTGAAGCTGTTTGTTATATATGGAGTGAAAACGAGGCGAAAAAAGGATCCAATGAAGTAGCAAGCTGTTTGCTTCACTACATCGAAAGAAAAGCTTCTACCGGCATTACTGATTTTTATTTCTGGTCCGACAACTGTGCTGGTCAAAATCGGAACAAGCATGTATTCGCGATGTATGTTTATGCCTCTGCGAAATTCAATGTGCAAATCAAGCACTCATTTTTGGAACCTGGACATACGCAAAATGAAGGAGACTCGGTACACTCGACAATAGAGAGACACGCGATAAATAGAAAAATTTACTCACTAAATGAGTGGTGTGATATCATCAGAGAAGCAAAATTGACTAAACCCCATTATGAAGTAATTAAAGTAACACATGACATGATTCATAACTTTAAAGATTTATCTTCTCAAATGAATTGGTCAAAAACTTCAATGAACAAAAATAAAAAACAGACATCTAATAAACCAATTTCAAAGATTAAGCAGGTTTCAGTCACGAAGGAAAATAAAAATCAATTATATTATAAAATTTCATTGGATATGGAGAATCAAACACTCGTCACTAGAAAAGAAAAGATTCATGTAAATGTGTCGAAGTATGTTCTAAAACATGCGTATGAAACTTGTCAAGGACTTCCTGCAACTAAAATAAAGGACTTAAAAGCACTGTGTAAAAAGAACATTATCCCGCTAAAATATCATGAATATTATAATTCTTTCCAGGAAAAGAGTGTCAGTCTTTATGATGAAGATACTTGTAACGCAGAAGATTACGATAGTTAGTTCTTCAGTAAAAAAATGACTATTTTTTAATTGGAAATTTGATAAATTTATGTAATTTTCTCTTTCCTTTTATAATTGTTAAGTTTATAATTAAAAAACCATTCAGTACTTATAATTGTTGTTTAATAATTCAAAAGTATTTATTATTAAATAAAAAAAGTTTTATCATTGAAAATAATATTTAATTAATTATAAAGTCTTGCATTTTTTATATTACAGTATTTAAAATTCCCCAATACGGGTTTAAAACAAAAAATACATTCATTCTCATATATAAATTAAAAAAATAAATAAAAATGTAAATAAATATTGTTTATTCACTTATATATTTCTTTTTACTTTTTATTCTTAATCCCGTTCAGATTTAAATCATTTAATAAATAATTAGTAGGGTCAAAATAAGTGAAACCGGCCACTTGAAAAATTTTTATCTCCAATTTCCAAGTTATCTATGATTTTTAGTAGATATTTGAGTACACTTTTTCCCCCTAAAATATTTTTCAAAAAAAAATTTTATTTTTGAAGTAATTAGGTATTGAAGTTTTAGGTCATTTTATTTTCATTTTATTATTACTTTGAAACAAATAAAGATAATTAAGTAATTTTTTTTTAAATTAAAGCTTAAAGTCTATACTTTAAAGATAAAATAAAGCGATTGCTAAAAAATGAAAATTTATAATTGTTATTAACAATTCTTTTAAACAATTGCAAATTGAAGAATGTTCTCAATGTTTTTGAAAGATTAAATTACGATATATTGATGCGCAAAACTATAAGGATTCATTTAAAAAAAAGAAAAATGAGTAACCTCCAATATTATAGAAATTGTGTAGATTTTTCTGCCAAAATGCAGGCCAAAATCGATTTTTAATCTTAAAAATCCGCTTGAAAGCGTGAAGTTTCTAACAAAACAAAAGAAGATCTTATTTATTCGTTTGCAATTTTATCTTTTTCCAGGAACTTGAGTCAATTTTTGCTTGCATTTTGTCAACAAAATTTACATAATTTCTATAATATTGGAAGTTACTCATTTTTCTTTTTTTTAAATGAATCCTTATAGTTTTGCGCATCAATATATCGTAATTTAATCTTTCAAAAACATTGAGAACATTCTTCAATTTGCAATTGTTTAAAAGAATTGTTAATAACAATTATAAATTTTCATTTTTTAGCAATCGCTTTATTTCATCTATAAAGTATAGACTTTAAGCTTTAATTTAAAAAAAAATTACTTAATTATCTTTATTTGTTTTAAAGTAATAATAAAATGAAAATAAAATGACCTAAAACTTCAATACCTAATTACTTCAAAAATAAAATTTTTTTTTGAAAAATATTTTAGGGGGAAAAAGTGTACTCATATATCTACTAAAAATCATAGATAACTTGAAAATTGGAGATAAAAATTTTTCAAGTGGCCGGTTTCACTTATTTTGACCCAGTAATTAAAAAAAATATAAAACAACAAACTGGACTTATCAAATTAAAAATAATAATTCCTTTTTACTTATACTATCTTATTTTAATATGATTTATTTATTTACTTGTCTATATCGTTACAACGAATACAAGTGGAGTCTCTCAATATATAATAAAGAATAAAACAAAATCATAAAATACTCATTCAACACAATACATTCAAGCGCATACAGCGAACAACGAAAGAGTTCAAGTACAGTTAATCAAAATGCACCATAATTTAGATTAATGATATCTTTGACGCGTGACGTTCACGAAGTATCCCACCTACAAATTTAACAAATGTTTTAATACTTTTTATTTCAGAAGAACTTAAAATAGCATACCAAAAGTCTAACGCGTCAGGGGCTGAACATATATCCGGAAACGCAGCTGCACATAGATGTTCACAGGCAGGACAATTTAAAAGAATATGAGCAAAACTCTCACCCTCCCGACGACAAAACGGGCAATATTCTTCCGCATCAAATCTATAAGAATAATTCCCCAAATTTACTCTGCAGACGTACTTATTTAATAATCTTATTTGAGCAAACACTCTTTTCGTATGCAGTGCAATTCGAGAGGTTAGATAGTATTGAATTCCCCGATTGACTGAGAGACATGGGTACAACAAGAGACTACTAGATTTAGAGTATTGCTCCAGGTCTAGGGCCCTCAA